ACCCCTGGCGGTGCTCAGGGGACCATATGGGATGCTGGGAGTCTAACTCGGGCTGGCTGCATGCAAGGCGAATGCCCTACCTGCTGTGCTATCAGCCCCCGTCTTCTGATTTTTAATTCACTCTTTAGTCAGAGTTAATCTGCTACTGCTTCTTAATTTCAATTGTATATATATATATATATATATATATATATATATATATATATATATATTGGCATCACACCCAGCAATGCTCAGGGGTTACTCCTGGCTTTGCACTCAGGAATCATGTCTGGTGGTGCTCGGGGGACCATATGGGATGCTGGGAATTGAATCCAGGTCGGCCAAGTGCAAGGCAAACGCCTTACCCGCTGTGCTATCTCTCCAGCCCCTCAATTGTATATTTTTTAATTTCTAAAGTTTCTGTTAGATTTTCTTCAAGATTTTTGACCGTTATTTATAGTCTCATTTTCTCTTGTTTCCATTTTATTGTTTCCACACTATTTTATGTCCCGTGCTCCTTGTGGATAATTCCAGCATTAGGAGTCTTTGCTTACGTAGTTTTCTGGCATTCGCTCATGAACACCCTTTCTCCTTGGATGCTCAGTTATTCATTTTATTGTGATCTTTCAAAATTTTTTTCTTTCTTTTTAGGCCACATCTGACTCTGGGGTTACGCCTGGCTCTGTGCTCAGGAATTATTCTTGACAGTGCTCAGGAAACCATATGGGATGCAGGGGGATCGAACCTTGGTTGACTGTGTGCAAGGCAAACACCCTACCGGCTGTACTATCACTTCACCCCCAATACTGTGATCTCTTAGTCCTTAAAATTCTATCAGTGAATGATAAAATTAGGTTGAAATTAGGTATATTTTTGCAGATGACATTTTATACTTGTGTATATATTGGATTATAGTGTGCAGGGTGTTTGCCTTGCACGCGGCCGACCCGGGTTTGATTCCTCCATCCCTCTTGGGAAGCCCAGCAAGCTACCATCCCGCCCGCACAGCACAGCCTGGCAAGCTCCCAGTGGTGTATTTGATAGGCCAAAAACAGTAACAAGTCTCATAATGGAGATGTTACTGGTGCCTGCTTGAGCAAATTGATGAACAATGGGAGGACAGTACTACAGTGCTACTAGGATTATGTCTTTCATCTGCATTATTAATAATATGTATGTGTGTGATACAATTTATATACCATAAAATATTCTTTTAGAGTGTATGATGTGGGGTCAGAGAGATACTACAGAGGGTAGAGTGCTGGCCTTGCATTTGGTCGACCCGGGTTTGAAACCTGGTACCATAGTGTCCCGGATAGTCCCCCATAGGAGTGACCCTTGAGTACAGAGCCAGGATTAATTCCTGAGCACCATAGGTGTGGCCACAAAGCCAACAACCCATGGGGGGAAAAAGGTACAATAGTGGTTGTGAATGTAGTCTTGAGGACTACCTCAAAATAGAGTCTCTGCGTAAGGCTCAGGCCACACAGGGAACATGCGTTTGTGTGGAATAGTCCCTTGAGCGCTAACTTCATGGGTGCCTTGTCTTCACCTGAAGGGTGAAGGGTCGCGTCTGCCTGTGCCTCCCGTCTGTGAGGAATTTTGTTGCTTTTTGCTGTTCTGACCCATCTGTGTCCAGCAGCGCCCTCCCTGACCCTCGAGAGCATTGCTTCCTCTTTTGGTCGCCGTATGGCCTTGGGAGCCTAAGTTCAAGTTGAAGGTCACCAGTGATGAGTCAGTGTCCTGCCCCCCCCCCCCCCTATTTCCTCTTTCAGAGTTTACTTACCTCAAAATTCCAGCTCTGGAGTCTTTTCTGACTTCAGAACATTTGATTTTTTTACTTACTTGCCAGCTCAGCAGTGCATGCAGAAAGATTTTCTAAAAATGATTTTATTCAGCGTGCTGTCTGCCTTTCCGTTTTGTTTATAATGTGCATTCCCTCCTTCATTCTGAGCCGGGCGGTCTGGGATCAGCAGGCTTCAAGTGCCGGTCGCGTCTGTCTTCTGTTCTTTGTCCTGTGGAACCCCTGGGCTGAGGAGTTTGAGTTTCCTTTAGGAAACAACCCGGCTGATCCAGGTTCCACCCCCAGCGCTACCTCTGGTCCCCTGAGTACTTCCTGCTGTGACCCCTAAGCACAGAGTCAGGAGGAAGCCCTGAGTGCCACCGGGTGTGGCTCCAACGCCCACCCCCAAATAAAATAAACTAATAAATAAATAAGAAGAACCTCGAACCCCCAAAAAGACAAAAAGAAAATTGTTTTCTGAAAGCCTTCTGTGTCTTAGACTGCTGCCTCCTCCAAGGTGCGGCCTCACTCAAAATTTTTTCTCTCAAGCGATGCCATTTTATTAATATTTTAATACATTTCCAAGTTACAATAATGAGTAAGAAATAATGTAATTTAAGCATTGCCAGTGTCAAAACTATTAACATAATTCATTGAAATTTTTATTTTTTACGTTTTGATTGAATCAATGTGAGACAGACCCTTACAACGCTTTCATGATTAGGTTTCAGTCATAGAGTGTTCCAACGCGCGTACCTCCACCATTGTACCATTCCCAGCAACAGAGTCCCCTACCATCACCCCCCCACCCTCCCACTCCCCAGCCTCTATGGCAGGCACTTTTCTTCTCTCTCTGTCTCAGTCTTTATCTCTTTCTCGCTCTCTTTCTCCTTTTGGGCACTGTGGTTTGCAATACTGAAAGAACATCCCTTTATCTACTTTTAACCCTCAGATCTTGTCCAGTGTGATCACTCCCAGCTATTACTGTCATACTGATCTCTTCTCTATCTTACCTATCGTCAGCCCCACACATAGCTGTGGTTAGTTTCAACCATTGACCAGTCCTCCTAGCCCCTGTTTTTCCTGGCCACGGATATTAGTCTTCCATTATATATTTTTTCTATCTCACAAGTGATAGCACAACGGTAGGGCATTTGCCTTGCAAGTGGCCAACATGGCCGACCCGAGTTCATTTTCTCTGCCCCTCTCGGAGAGCCCGGCAAGCTACCGAGAGTATTTCGCCTGCACGGCAAAGCCTGGCGAGCTACCTGTGATGTATTGGATATGCCAAACACAGTAACAACAAAGTCTCCAATGGAGACATTACTGGGCCCGCTTGAGCAAATTGATGAACAAGGGGAGGACAGTGACAGTGACAGATATCTCACAAATGAATGCAGTCATTCTTTATCTGTCCCTCTCCTTCTGACGCATTTCACTCAGCATGATACTTTACTTTTTTTTTTTTAGGGTTAAAGCTCTTTATTCACCGGTAGGGGGTGGAGAAAAGGGTGTCTTCTGGGGAAGGTCGGACGCCGACGTCCTCGGTCGGCCGGGACCGCCGCAGAGCTGCAGAAAGCAGCATGATACTTTTCATGTCCATCTATTTATAGGCAAATTTCACGACTTCGTTTTTCTTAATAGCAGCATAGTATTCCATTGTGTAGATGTGCCATCGTTTCTTTATCCAATCATCTGTTCTTGGGCACTCAGGTTGTTTCCAGATTCTGGCTATGGTGAATAGCGCTGCAATGAACATAGGAGTGCAGATGCTGTTTCTGCTGTGTTTTTGCCACCCCCAGGCTATATTCCTAGAGGTGGTATTGCTGGGTCACAAGGGAGCTCAACTTTTAGTTTTTTGAGAAACATCCACATTGTTTTCCAAAAGTCCAGCCTCACTCTTGTCTTAAGGTTTCGGTGCTGCTAAATCCATTCCCTTCCTGATGTTCCTGGTTTGCCACCTTTGGGGAATTGGTTGAAGTCCCTTGTGCTTCTTTACAATCACTTTTTTGGGGGCTGCTTTAAAAAAAGTAGGAGCTTCCCTCTCAGAGCTTAGTGGGTAGCGCTTTTCCTGGTGATGCCCCGCTCAGCTTGTGGGCCCGAAGGGCTGCTGCTCCAGCCTGCTTGTGCATGTGAATCCGATGTGGTGCCGGGAGGGTCACGCTGATGGGGCCCTGGGGACCTACTCAGCCCTCACTCATGCTGGGCACGTGCTCTCTGGCGTGAGCCGATGCCCCGCACCTCCGGGATGCATTACCTCCTATGCGGGGCTGACCCGTGTGTAGCCTGCGAGGAGAGCAGGGAACCTTCCTGTGGTCACTGCTGTGCGTGATCCGAGACTCAGGCTCCACCTTAGACTGTGGCTCCCCTGCATATGCCCTTCCACATTCCATTTTTAGCGAAGTGTGGGCCTTGCCTGCCTGGGGCCTAACTAGAGATCCAGTGCCTGGAAGCTTCTGTTAATTATTACTTACCGGAAACAGAACAGGAAGCATGACCACAGTGAGGCTCAAGGGGTTTGGGGAGGAACTGATTCTCTTAGGAGATTTGATCATGTTCTCTTACGGAAGGTTTTAGAGTTCACCCCACCCCCATCCTCCCACTGGTCAGAGTGGTCCAGAGGCGAAACCATGGAGAACCGTTGATCTAGAACTACACTGTCCAGGGTGGCAGCCAGTGGCCTCAGGTGTGACTATATGCTGAGTGCGGCTCTTCAGTCACTGACTTGGAAAGTTTCACACCAAAAAAAGAATGCAGAAGAGCCCAGTCATTTTCATATTGATCATGTTGTTGTGCCACTCACGTCCACTCTTCCGGTTATAGCGCCGGCCAGGGGTGAGCTACCAGGGTGCTCACTGGGTTGCACTCCTGGACCCAGTGCTCACCAGCTATAGTCCCAGGCTCTGTGCTGGCACACGCTTGGCTACCAACACCAGGGTCACATTTGGTGCAGGGGGCCCCACACTGACTGGCCCCTGGCCTGGGTGCTTCAGAAGAGCTCCCACCCCCACCTCCAGCCCCGTGCCCAGTCCCCACTTATTTAAGTGCAGACTTAACCCACATAGGTCCTCGCGCCATGATTTCTTCTCCTGGGTTCCCAGGGACGATGGGAAAAGTGCTCCTTGGACCTGGCAGAGTCTCGGCGGCCCTGTGGCTGGGCTCTGTCCTTTCCTGCCACCTGGTGCTCTTCCTAGGGGCCAGCCGCTTCTCATCACCTGTTTTCTTTCTGTTGCAGCTGCACTGAGGGGCCGTTGGCTTGAAAGCCACACCAGCGCCCAACCTGCAAACCTCACCTGGGGTCAGGATCAAGCAAACTTCACAGCAGCGGCCTCCAGAGACAGGGTGTCGGTTCAGACCCTCCGAAAGAGCCTCATTTCTGCCGATACTCCAGAAGCTTTCACTGCACAAGCGGAAACAGCAGGTACTGGAGGAAGGGCCGAGCCTTGGAGGAGCCTAAGTGGGTTGCACTCCCCTTGGGGCCTGGGAGGGGGGAACTTGGGGTGTTGTTTGTTCACTCTGGGAATCCTAGCCTCCACACTCTGTGCCCTTGCCCGAGCCCAGGGTCCAGCTAGAGTCCTGGGCTGGACCACCTGGACCGTAGGTGCCCTCTGAGTCATGCTTCGTGGTTGAGGAGGCTGTGTGTATCCAGGGCAGCTGGGAACGACCCCATGGAGCCACCTTACAGGCTAGTAAGCTGAGTGTGGGGACCGTGCACAGCCTGGGCACCCGAGCACTGGCTCTGGTGGGACGTGGGAGTGTGTTTGTGTTGATGGACCTTGAAGCTGCTTTTTTGTGGGGCTGAGGACAGGCCATGCTCAGCGGTGCCAAGAGTCTATTCTAAGCTTTGTGCTTAGGAGTGACCCCTGGCTGTGCTTCGCTGACCCCGTCGGTGCCCGGGATTGTACCAGCATTGGCTGAACTGGTCACGTGCAAAGGCCTTTCCCCCTGTACTGTCTGGTCCAGCGATGGCCATTCTTATTCTAGTCACCACAATCCTCTGCTTAGCTACTTAGCAAAGATTTCATGAAAGGGCTCAGACAAGATGGACATGATTTAACAGAGAAAGTGGGGGCAAAGCAGCTGGTTCCATGCCTCCTACATGCCAGTGTACCTCAGTTTTCATTGCATGCCAGGGGGACACAGGATTCTCATTTTAGAGATCTGGAAACCGAAGCTCCCAGAAACGAGTGCATCTGATCCCGTGTGTACAGACAACACCAAATCTCAGAGCTGGGGTTAGAGCCCAAGTGTGTGTGTCTGGGCAAGGTTCAGGCTTCCTGGATAGAAAGGGGGTAGGCCTTGGCAGTGAAGTCACAGAGTCGAGAACGACCTCCCGGGGCAGAGTACGTGGAGGTGGGAGTGGGTAGGACTGTGGTGTGGACAGGCTCGGGGCAGTCACAGGGCTTTGCCAGCCAGCCACTTTGGATTTGTTGAAAAGAGTCACAGAAGGTTTTTGCACACAGTGACATGATCCAAGAGAATTTCGTAGCACGTGCCCAGGTATATTAGAGGAAATGAGGCCGGGAAATGAGGTGGAAGGGGCATGAGGGCCAGGGGACGACGAAGGCAAGCTAGAGATGCAGACCCAGGTGCCGAGATTGGCCTGGTGGCCTCAGACCGGAGAGGAAGGACTGGAAGAGCCTCTTCAGAGGAGAAATTGGGAGAAACCAGTTCAACCCTCTTCCACGTGCATCCATGAAACTCCACACTAGATGTTGCCTGGTCTTTCTGGCCAGCCAGACACGGACAGTTTGGTTCAGCTAGAGCAGTGTGAGTGATATGCTGTGATGCTCGGGACCGGGCCCCTAACTCTGCTTTAGCCTCAGTGTGCCCCTTCTCTAGTCAGTTTGCATCACATGGCAAAGTCTTGTGGGCTCTAAAAGCAGCCTCTGGGCCAGGGATGTGACTCAGCAGCAAAGTGCTCCCTCGCCTTGGACCCTGGGTATCCATTCTCAGCACAAACACAAAATTAAAGATTGAGTGACCGTGAGGCCGGAGTGATAGTAGGATAGAAGGAGTCTTGCCTTGCACACAGCCAAGCTGGCTTCAATCCCCGGCCCCTCTGAGAACCGCTTGGAGTGATTCCTGAGCGCAGAGCCAGGAGCAACTCTTTAGTACGCTGGGTGTGGCCCCCAAAACCAACCAAACAAAATAATGCATGATAGCAACCTTGCTTGTGGATTGTAGCGCCTCCTTCCAGAATCAGTTTTCTGGTTTCTTCTTCCATTCCTATTGCACAGAGGTCCGAGGTGATCCCGCTCCCTGGGCAGGCAGGCACGAGGGGTCTGCAGCTGTGAATGGAGGCAGGGCAGTCTTCCTTCACCCCTCTGTGCCTGGTCTGGAGGCCCCCGGGAGACGTGGTGGGCTTGCCCAGGTGGCTGCCGCTTGGCTGGTAGGTGGGAGAGCAGACCGGCTGGACGAGCAGCAGACCACCTTTCCCCGCCTCTGACCACCTTCTCCTGAGTGCTCCTGTCCCAGCAGGCTGCCCGAGGCACGAGACCCCGTCACATACATGCACACAGAGGCTAGGCTGATGGACATGAGCTTTATTCACTCTGTGTCTCAGCATCGAAGCTCCTCTTTAAATGATCATGTTCGTGTCGCAGGCTGCATCATATATACAGAGCAAATGTTCTACCACCCCGCCATCTTCGGGTGGTCATCTTTTCTTGAAGTGTCAGGGGAGGGAAATGTTATTTGGGCCAGGGGTGTGGCTCAGCGGTAGAGCCCTGTCTCTGAGCTCATTTCTGCCCCGGGGACCACGTTTCCCTCCTCCCCCACATCCGCACACTCAGCGTGGTTAATGTAGGGGGGCTGTGTTCCAGGTGAATGAAAGGGTGAGCTGGTGCTATTCTTAGCAGCTAGATTTGTATCTCTTCATTGTTGCCTAAGTGTTTCCTTCTGCGTGGGCGCGCATTTTTCTAGGCATCTTCCAAGAGAGCAGGGTTTGCAAGGCACAGTCCAAGTTAGTGGCAAGGTGCTTACTGCCAGGCTGCTCCAACTCCTCTTCATCGGTGAAACCCTTGATTGCCACAAGCCTTCCTTCAGCCTCTGAGTGTCAGGACCGTGCTCCTGCTCATAATGGGGTCCTGATGCTGCTCTTCCTGGCTAGACTGTGATGCTTTTGAGGATGCGGCAGGCTCCACTGTCTATGAACAAGGAACAGCTGGGCAGGAGCAGGATTATGCATGTTTAGTCACCTGGACGCCTCCAGACTAGGCCACCTTCTCTCGGCTCCTCTCCCCAGTGAGGTTGTGTTCCAAGTCTGTTCTGTGGCATGTGTTTCTGCCTCCTGGGAGCAGGACAGAGAGGAAAGAGCGTGTTTTTGGGGAAAGATAGAATTGATTCAGAAACTGCCATTTTCAAACTAAAACTTAAAATTTTTAAAAAGAAACTGCCACTTCAAAGGAAAATGTGTGGCAAAGTATCTTGGGAGCTGTTTCTAGTGATAGTTGGCCAGGCCAGTGGGGTCAGTGCTGAGCCTGGTGAAGCTGGGGTGACCGAGACCACTCTCAGGGGTGCTCAGGGGCTCTGTGGCCCTGGGGTTCAGGTCTGTGCCTCATAACCCGCAGGCATACACCAAGGACTGCTCAGCTGTCTCCCCAGCCCTTTCATTTCAAATGCTTTTAGGTCAGTTTTTTGCAAATACTTTGTAAGATGCAAGGCAAACGCCTTATCGCTGTGCTATCGTTTGCCTTGCACGCAGCCAACATGGCCGACCCGAGTTCGATTCCTCTGCCCCTCTCGGAGAGCCCTGCAAGCTACCGAGAGTATCTCGCCCGCACGGCAGAGCCTGGCAAGCTCCCCGTGACGTATTTGATATGCCAGACACAGTAACAACAAAGTCTCCAATGGAGACGTTACTGGGCCCGCTGGAGCAAATCGATGATCAACGGGAGGGCCTTTGCAAGATGAGGTATTTGGATTTGTGTCATTAAAAAGTTACCCTGGTGATGCTTTGTGGGTTGCCCGTTTAAAACCTTGAGTTGTCTCCCGTGTCCTATGGGAGACAGTTTTCTGCTGACTAGGTACAAACATAATTTATGACCCTTGTTTTCCGGGTTGCTTTTTGACGATTCTTCATAAACATCAATTTATTTGTTTATTTATTTATTTCTTTTTGGGTCACACCCGGCGATGCACAGGGTTTATTCCTGGCTCATGAACTCAGGAATTACTACTGGCAGTGCTCAGGGGACTATATGGGATGCTGGGAATCGAACCCAGGTCGACTGCGTGCAAGGCAAATGCCCTACCTGCTGTGCTATCACTCCAGCCCCAACATCAGTTTATTTGGATGTAAGTTCCGGGCCTCTCCAGCTCCAAAGTTTTGTGGTTTAGTGATTTATAGCCAGTTTGCTGGAAGGGTGGAAAGGGAGCATTTTCAAGGAAGCTACTTTGGTTCTGGTCAGACTCATTCAATATTGATCATTGAAATTCAGCCCAATGTGCTGCGACATTTGAATATCAGCCTTGCCTCTTCTGGTGCCGTCACCACCTGGCTTTCCTGTACGACAAAGTTAAACAGGCCCCCAAGTGTTCCAAGAGACTCTGCTGACAGACCCACAAGTGCGTGGAGTCCCCGTCCCCTTGCTAGTCCCCGAGTCCCAGAGCACTTCTCTTCCTTCCGAGTGAGACCTGCGTGGGGTGGAGGTCTCGTCTGACTCATATCCCAGAAGGGGCTCTGGGCAGCTCCATGGGGTACCTGAAGGCTGAGCTTGTGAATCCAGCCCCCAGCATCCTGTGTCCCTGCAGACATGCAAGGGCCAGGTGACTCCTGGAAAGCAAAGTTCTTGCTCTTGTAACTTTTTAATAGGGCTTCACCAGTGGTGGTGGTGAGGTGGGCGGTGGCGGGGGGGGGGGGGGCCCGCTGGGGCCATTTACCCCGAGGGGAACTGAGTGTTGGGTGCTGGATCCAGCCATGCATTCATTCATTGCTGCCAGCTCTGTGAAGTTGGGACCCCAGAATCACACTCCATGCTGGAAATGGACCTTGGGTCCTGACGTGTGCAAGGCACATGCTGCGGCTCCTTGAACTGCTCCTTAGCCCCCTGCCCCACTTTCAGGCTCAGTGCTGCCGATCTGCTCCTCAGAGCACTGGCTTCCTCTACTCCCTGTATTCTTGGGCATGAGAGTTTATTCTTCTCTGGCTAAGGGGAAGGGGGTGCTCTGGGAGAGCCAGAAGCAGGCTGAGAGGGCACGAGGACTCAGCACAGACAGACCAGCACCCAGCAGGCTGAGAGGCAGGGGTACTAAGCAGGACAGAGCAGCACCCAGCAGGCTGAGAGGACACAGGGACTCAGTGGGACAGACCAGCACCCAGCAGCCTGAGAGGGCAGGGGACTCAGCGGGACAGACCAGCACCCAGCTGAGGTGCCACTCAGGAGAAGGCTGGTGGTGCTGCCCCTGGACCCTGGCTAC